CGTTTTGAGCAGACCTGTCAAGAGAATGATGATGTTGTTCAGCGAAACCCCAACATTCATGTTGCACGTGTTACATACCCACTAACCATCCGACTTATTAAATCTGTTGTAAGTAGTCACTGTAAGACCTGGGCATACTTCGTGGAACTGATCGGTTCCCCAATCTTCCGATTTCGGGGAAATTTTGGAGAAGCCGTTGTAGAAAATTTTGGAGGAATTTTGGAGAAATGGCACAAAACCCCTAAAATTTTGTTTTTTTCCCAATATTTCCCCAGAATCTTATACCACCTTGGGGAAATCTGTCCATATTTGTAAATAAATTTTTCGTTTTTTCCCAATATTTCTTCAAAATTTTCGGCCGATAGTATTGAAAAGCCTGGCGATTTAATAATGAGTACCCAAAAGTTCATACTCATTTATTTCACTAGTTCCTGTTATCGTATTACAGTAAACACAGTACCAAAGCAATTTATTTATAATCGGTGGAAAGAACCGTTCTTTTGCCATAAATCAGCATTGCCGTAATTAAAAGACTGATACGTTACACAAGAACGTGTTAATTAAAATTGAAGTACAAATTATCCATTAATACACAACTTCTTCCAATTCTTAATATCTGATAGTATGTTTTGGAGAAGTACATTAGGTAGGTGTTGAACTGTCATTCACAATGTTCAACGAAAAGAAGAAAAGTTACTCTTTAGTAGACGAACAAATGTCATAGAAACCATCCAACTTATGAATCCTGAATATCATGTAAAAGGTTGACTACGCACCAATAATATGACAATAACGAGTTCCTAATAAAAAAACGTACAGTTGGGTTTGTTAACGCTTTCAAATCCAGTCGAAAATAAGATGGACAATAGATAATTATTTTTGAATACATTTTTATTAGAAACTAATATAAAATCAGATGTAATGTAAAATCGCAGATGTAAAGTGTATTTAGCTTGCCTTTTAGGTTGCATTTAGCTGCCCACGCCTATTCACTTTATCACTTGCATCGTGTAAGAAAGTCTAGCTTGCAACATCCATGACTTGCGTTCTTTTTCTGGGCAGGTTGCACTTGGTAACCGTGAACACAGAACACCTATAAGTATATTAATATTGTAGAATCTGTTACTACTGATACCTATGTTACTTTTAGTCCCATATAAGGTAAAAATAATAGCCAGTTCCGGCGTCAGCACGTAAGCTAGGTATGTCTTGGCTGATTTCTGAGGATTATCATGAATGATCACCAACAATCTGGCCAGATAAAATTTTATAAACGCCTGTCACAACTTACGAACTGACCAAGAAACTATTGCTCCTTCAAAGCAGCTTCAATAGTACTCAATTCGTCAAGTGTTTTTAATGAGAATACGAAACTCGAAGTGTCCATGTTGTCACCTTACACCCACATACGAGCTTGCGACACAGTCCAGTGGCTGCTTTCAGAATCCTGTCGCCGAGATCTTATGCATATAGAGTATAATATCTTAAGCCTGTGTTCTGTCTCTCTCATGATACTGTTGTGTTTTAAAAGTTGAACTAAAATGAATTCGGACAGATATTTAGGAATTGATTAGTTACGTAGATATAACGTGAGTCTCAGTATCACATCACGTTAGGTATCAATGATGGTATCAATTAAGATCGATTTAATACGATTTTGCATTCCTACTTTATGATAACACCAATCTATCATCAGTGATCGTTGAAATCAGACTTGAAACTCACGGCATAGTTTTTGGGCTCTGATCAGATTTTGTGTACCGGAATCTTCTTTGTGCTGCATGTTAAGCACTTGATTAGTCATTGGGTGCCAACAGACGTTTGGGATGGTGCAGCACAGACCATTTTAATCCTACACTTATTTATTTGAACGCAAACCTTGGTACAAAAGGGCACCAACATTTATATGCGCCACACAAAATTTCTGTAAGAGGTGGGATACTTCCCGGTTGTTCAAACCGAAGTAAGTGGTTTTCTTAGGGGGCCACTCCCCAGGCCTTGGACTTGGAGACTGGTCCGCAAGTCATTGAGACAACGTTAGAATATGTAGTTCCATGGTAGTCAGTGGCCACGAATAGACTCGCACGCCATTTGTTCCCTCATTAACCTGAGGTCTATGTGGACCGTTGGTTGGGAATCAGGGTTTTCCAATTCTTCTATATGGATTCTTCGTACCCATCAAGCTGGTTTAAGACTTGGACATCCGCTTTTTGTACTTTCAATTTCGTAGACAACACCCCCGCTCTGAGAAATAAGTGAGTAGGAATTTCTTGCTAGTTGATGTGTACAGATTACCGTATGGGAGCAACTGGAGAGTAAGTGGACTCTCCCTTCCATCCAAAAGGAGGCTTTAATCCTTAGGGCTTACTCATAGTTAATTATGCGGTTTTATGTATATGATTACTTATTTCATTAACATTGTCCGTGAGAAAAAAATTTAGTTTATTATGAAACGAGTCAGTATTTCAAAGACATTGTGCGGTCTTTTGAAATAATCTAAATTAAATCCATGTAGCCGCCTGTTCATTGGAATTTGCGAAATTTCACAATGAAATACTAAACTTATAAACACCGACTTCTCTGCAATTCAAATTTCCACAAAGTAATGATCAGCCTTGGGGACGACAATTGTGTGCACTAACATGAATTTGCTCAGCTTCCTATGTATGTTTACTGTACAGCTTTACTAACCATTGACTTACCTCTTTAGCAGACTCTTGGACTTTTTGTGGAGTCGGTTCCCACTATTATTGGTTAGTGAGCAGCATCTGTTAACACACAGACCTTCGATACCTGTGGGAAAAGACATGCAGTGCGATGAGTGCAGAGGATCTTACCACGAAATTTTCGATAATCTACCGCCTGTGGCTTTCAAAAGGTTTTGCAAAAGTAGTTGCGCGTGGTTGTTTCAGCAGTGCTGCTCGGACGCAAACAGCTTTCTATCCGAAGCCACTGCAATGGTAAACGCTTCTAAATGAAGTATTAGCAAGCATAACCGAGACATGTTAAATAGTATTTTCTAGGTTGATACACAAATACGCTCAGAGTCGACTGATATACATGGGTCAACGGAGATAGTACAGTCTATAAAAAGATCTATTGGGAAAAGATGCTCAAGAAAATAAGTTTTTTCTTCTCACCGTTCTCCGAATGGCAACGAGCAGGAAAATCTCTCAAAATCTAATCGCAAGTCTAGGTCTGCTTCCAGAAGATATAACGACAACCTGAACACCTGAGTTATAGATAATCATCCAGGATCCCACAATGTGTGTAACGCGATTTTAACAGCTACTCCAACTCACGCTGAAGAATAGGTACAGATCAGGAATAACAAACGACCTGATGTTGCTAAAGGGAAACCAATCCCCAAACAGTGGTTGAGAAATTGGGGACTGATCATAGTTACAGGTCAGTTGTCTTCCATAGAGTCAAAGAGAGTGGAAGCTCAGAGCCGAGAACTCGATTTGAAAATGACATTGAGTCCATAAATGGGCCACTCAACAGTCTGATTCCTCGATATATCTCTTAAGTCACCTTGCTAAAGGTTTATCGAGTAGGTAGTTAAACGGACTTGAAAAAAATCAAACCAGGCTGCTAAAAACAGTATTTAAATTTCCCAGTGAAAGAGATGTAGATTATCAATATATCGAGAAGTGACTGATCTAAACTGGCTAGTGATCGCAGAAGTTGAGCACGGCGTTCCCAATCGTGATCTCGTGCAGATACATGACCGAGCACCTTCAGCTGGGTGTGCCCAATGAAACTAATGTGGTCAGCATCCAGGGTCGAACACTTACAGTGCTATTGATTTTGTGGATTTATTTACCGCTAACGTGGGATATCTCTAATATCCTATGGTATCAATGTAAGTTCGATTATAAATAATGGTTGACTTGTACCAGTGTTTTACATGACATGGTTACCGGTTTTTTAGCGAAGGGCAGTTAACGGACGTCTGTGTTTATGTTGTTTGTACGGTTTCTTCGATTGACGCAGATTGCTTCTCGATAATGTAAGCTTCGTTATTTCTAGCACTTATCTGACAAAAGTGATTTCTAAATGGGATCAACTAACAGCACAACATCATTAGAAATATAGTACAGATGTTTTTGGCGAAACGTTTGAGGATACCACGGACACTCTAGTTTTACAACTAGCAACCAGTAGTATCTTCTATAATCGTTCGTTCCCAGTCGAATAGAAACCAGAAGTCAGACGAGGAGAGGTAGGAAAGATATATTTGATACGTTACCAATATATCGAGGAACCTTTACTATAAGCTGGCTAATGAACGTAGGAGCTGTGTCCCACGCCGTGTTGCAACGTGATCTGGTACGGATGCATGACCGAAAGCCTTCAGTTAAACAAGTCCACTTAAACAACGTGGTCAGCATCCAATGTCGAACACTTGATGAGCTATTGATTTTGGGGAATTATTTACAGCTACACGTTGCTCCGTTGACCTTGAAATGGATAAGAAAACAGGCTAACAAATTATATCGGTAAATCTACTCATTGGTTGTTGGTTTGGGTCGTGGCCTAAAGCATGTCATAGAGCGTGGCATATACAATTCGTGGTATTATTATCTGGGAACGCTAAGCATTATTGCGTCAAGTCAGTACCAGTGACTTACTCTTTCCAATACTTGTGTCGCTCTAGATAATGGACATGCCTCGGATAGACCATAATTTATAGACGACCTTTGAACGAATCTTCAGTGACCTTGAGCAATGTCAGCCAATCAGTAAACAGTCAGTATAAAAACATGTTATACAAAACCAAATAATTAAAGTGGATACACTTCTTTTATATGGTCTAAGACTTATCAAGGTTAGGAAAAGGTTCAAAGGTTCCAAAGTTGTAATGCATAAGGTAGAGAAACTCATCCATATGGCTCTATAATAGTTGGTCTCTGGAGCTATGATGAGGTCACAAAAGCCCTTTCAGCCTCGACCACATAGCTTCATTATTGTTTGTGTACTCCAGTTGTGTAAGTTTATCATTTTTATTATGGATATGTCTCTACAATACTCATACCACTGAACTCCCCTCCCAACCATCGATTGCTATCATTGATGGTTAGAGACCTTGAATGACATGGCTCAAAATCGTTTGCAATGGCACAAATGCATTCACTCTTCGTGTTCTCCCAAATTCTAATCTGAATCGTTAATTCATTTAGTATTGTTTGTTTGAATCTTCCCGTCGATGTGTTAGGATTGCAACTTGTCAGTCTCTAATTGGCATATGTGCATACTGTGCGTATTGCCTCGATAATTCACAAGCATGGTAAGCAGAGATGGATAGTGGCTAGCAGTGAATTCTTAATGTTTCTTTCTTTTTTCTCTTTCCAAATTTATTTCACTGGATTGTACTCCTTGAATAACATTTTCAAACCCTAATCTTTCCGAATGCCCCCAAATGCCCTGGTACGGCCGAGAGTGGGGAGAGTCCTCTCCCCCTCTCGAAATGCTCTCATATGGCCAGCAAATATATAGCCTCTGCCAGGGAAGTCCTACTCACTGCCTACTCATAGTGGCATTACTGTTGTTTACGAAATTGAGAGGACGAAAAGCGAATGTGCGGCGCTTTAACCGGGGTTGGTGGACACTGATAATCCACTTAGGGAAGTTGGAAAACCCTGATTCCAAACAAATGGTGCACATGGGCTCCAGTATCCCGAAGGGACAAATAGCGTATGAATCAATTGTTGGTCACCGGATACCATGAAACTGCATCTCCTCACGATGCTCCACTGCCTTGTGGATCAGATCTTTAGGTCAAAGGCTCCGGGTGTGGCTCCCCAAGAAAACCACCTGCTTCAGTTTGGGCACCCGGGCAATATCACAGCCCTCACACAATTCGAATGAGATTTGTGAGGCGCATATGTATCTGGTGCTTCCTTGTACCAATATTTATGTGTTTAAATAAATAAAATAAACAAATAATCTTTCCGAATACTGCTTATACTCTTACCACTTCTACCACTATGGGATTTGAATCGACAAGTGCATCTCTGTGCTAATGTGGTATGGCAACTCGAACTGATGTACATGTGTACGCACAAAGTCCCACGTTTCTGCTGATTGACTGACTGACTGATTTTTCATGATGTATGAATACGTAACAATTGGAGTTGATATAGCACTGAATAGAATCATATGTTGTTTACTAGTGAGAATAAATACCTGTTTAAAACTATTTGTTCTTTCAGACCTGTTCTGCAATATTCATTTCTGGAAACATAATCGGTAATTTTTTTAGTTCTGCACGTAACAAGTGTGTAGAGATGAGATGTCAAGGAAAACTACCAATCAAAAATAATAGATGTTGTATCAAACAAACAATGAGTTGGGGGGTAGACTCCAGTTTGCATTGCATTCTGTACATTTAAGTTGTGTTGGTTGTAAGTACAATGACTTGTGTTCATTACGTATATTTTGAACTGAGTCTTCCAACTATATATTATTAAATGCTTTTGTGATATTGGTTTATTAATATTTCATTAATGTTGAAACTGTTTCTTAATGGGTTGGGCAGTTTACCAACGGTAAACCGACAAGTCTATCTAAATTTTATCAACTGATTTATAGGCTACTTACTTCTGTGGTGCATTTTTCTAATGTATATCAGACTATTTGAATTAATGAGCCGTTTGTGTGAGAGGGTTTTTACAAACTGCAAACGAAATTATTACTAGACTATTGATTTATCTAATGAATGTATTACTTAGCTGGGTTATTATCTATCCACTAGGGATTAAAGTAATTTCTGATTGTTGCGTACATTGGACTCATCGTTAGTATAAATCGTGCTTGAAACCTTGTGTTATTCTAATCTTTACTTTAAAAGTATTCATTCACACACTAATTGTTATGCTATATTTTCAGGATCCGAGAAACGTGATAGTAGACGTCCTCTAACTGTTCGAGATGTGAGTTTGATTCGTTTAGCAAAGAATGGGGATTTGGATTCAATCAAACAAATGATAAAGGAAGGAGTAAACATAAACGAGCAAGATGAAACAGGTAAGGAAGTGCACCGATAGAAAAGAGGAGATTGTGTTTTATATCCCTGGAAACATGTGATTGTGTTTCTGTATAGAGCCTAAAGTTATACAGGATAAATTATATATTTTATATTGTTGTAGATCAGTAATATAGACAGAATATAACAAGCATTTAGATTGGATCAACCTAATTGGCTGTTTTTATTGTCTACTGATCTACGATTTGTGCGTCATATGATCTAAGTCACTTGTCTTACAGCTTGGCCTTTTAGACGTGGAATCTACCACTTAAAGGTAGAACTCCTTAGTATCTCAATGTAACTAGTTGTTTTTGACCATTAATCTCAGTTCACCGGACTTTTGTTTCGATCACTGATGCATGTTAGTACTTCATTTCATTACAGGGGCTGTTCTTCATGCGTTTCCACTTAAATTTGTAGGTTGGACTGTATTGCACGAAGCATGTGTGCGGAACCTTCCACGTATGGTTGATTATTTGCTGCGACATGGAGCTGATCCCAGTATCTCAAACATAAACGGTGACGTAGCACTTCATTGTGCTGCGCGAGTAGGATGTCTGCGTATTGTTCGAGCACTCTTATACTACAACGCCGACCCTCTGTTATCGAACCATAGGGGTGAGAAACCTTTGGACTTGTGTCATGACCCTGAAGTATCCAGTTTTCTCAAACAAGTATGTCTTGGCTGCATTTTTTTAAAGGTTAAATTTTGTAGAAAGGATTGTGTCGTAGGAATATCAGAAGCTTATCAAGCAGACCAGTTTCTCGAAAGAATTGTACCTTTGAATATTTTCTTAAAGACACTCCAAAAGCTTATGGTGATACTTTTATGCTATGACAACCCGGGCCGACATATATCTGTGACAGGCTCTACATTGATGCTTACTGACTGACATCTTTATTTATGTGGCCTTTAAACTTGAGATGAGACCAGACCATGGTCGCTTAAGGGACTATATTATCAGATGATTGCGGAACTACAGTTCGATGATGACAAGGAGGCAGTTGTGAGGTTGGATTTTTACATCCATTGGTTGTATCACAGGAAGGTGGATGAGTGTGTTCAACATTTGAGAAATTCATTGTCTCTCAAACTTGAACCTTTATCTTTCGACACGATCGTTGCTTATATTTCGTTGACTGGTCTTCATTCGATGAGATGTCCATTTGATAGATGGTTGCTCACATTGGTTGGTCGTGTCCATCTACTTTATTATGGTCAACTAAACAGTATTTTGTAAATGTGGTAGCTGTATTATGTGGATTAAAGTGATTTCCTTCTTTGTTGAGCATAGTTTTTATTTCCAGATTGTTTATTTGACTATAAGTATATACGTCATCGCTGTCGTTAATTGAGAACACCGAGTGAGTAGTGGTAATGTTGTGGTTAGCGTAACAATTAAGTGTTGTATCGGTTGGTGAGTTTATAAACTTTCATCGACTGTGAGAGGGTTGGGGCATATGTAATGCCCGATCAGCCATTGACCACCAGTGTGCCATGGAGGTTAGTATATATATGGGGTAGAAATAGGTTAGGGGCAACTAAATCGATTTATAAGGTCAACTCGTGAAGTTAATGACTATTGATATGAGCTATACAGGGAGATTCAGTCTCCTTGATCGCGATTTGTGAGACAACTGTAGTCTGTCTATGTTGCTTGTTAACTAGGTGATGAGTCGAAATAGTCTCAGTGAATGTATACACATTTCTCAACATCTTGTAAATGTTGGACAATCAAGTATTATTTTGTATTTTTCATTCCTTTCTGGTGACTCGCTTATCTTCCTCTTCGTTTTTCGTGTCTGTTATTCTCCTCTAAATCTTGAGTTTCAGTTTTCATGCTTTTCACCTTCGATTTAATTAATACTTTTCTAAACATACTTTGTGTATTTAGTTTCCACTACTATTGTTATTATTATCATTTCGACTCTTTTTCATCTTTTGAACTTCCTGTTTCTACGCTTAAGTAAAATTTGGCAACTTGAACCAATTGTCATTCCAGCCAGTTCGTACGCAGTATATATATGAAATTGCTCAATAATCTCTTCACTAATTGGTCAAGTTTTACTGTTTGCTGGATATTCTTTATTGTTATTGTGTTTATATTTTCAGCATACTGAAACTAACCAATCACACATGTTAGCATCGTCTGGTTCTGGGAAATCATCACATTTGAAAGTCCGCCAACATACACACGGTACAAAACATCTGATGTCCTCTTTTTCTGGTACGACAGTATCCAGCTCCACTGAACATCACGGTGGTGGGGGTAAAGATAACAGTAGTATAGCAAGTCCATCGAATATTTATTCAGACTCAGAGGATGATGGTCATTCACTTTCAGGTTTGAATATAACTACCAATATATCTCATCATAATATTAGTCCTAATAATACTAACCAGCAGTTAGATTTGAATTGCTTATCATCTACCGGTCATTATAACCATCCAACATCTAGTCCATCATTGCCGTCTGTACCCAAATCCGTAACTGATATGCACATCTCTTCATCAAAGTCATGTGAGTGTTTTTCATGTATGTATGCTTCTACATATCTTCTTCTCATTACAAACTGTTTTGCTTAACGTTTGTTGTAAATTTTATGCAATATTATGGTGTATTATTCCAATAACTATTCACAGATCTCAATCTTTGTTCGTGTTATATATAGTGAATTTTACAATAGCTATCAATACTAACTGACAGACTGTTTAGATTGTACATGAGAATCAATAAATGTACTCATTGTTGTATGGATGAAAGTGTCTCACTTGATTATCAAATGTTATACCTCACTCACTAGTTTTCGAGGTGATAGCAGTACAGGTTTATGATGTTTAGCTCCAAATATGTTGGTGTTGGAAAAAAACAAACTGAGTCCCGGTTAGTGTATCTTTCATTTGATTGTTATTATTACCACCATTATCAGATAATGCCTAATGGATGTATTATGAATAATAAGTAACTAGGTACCCCTTAACTATGACCTTACAAAACTGTCTAGTTATTATCCACTGAGTTTTGCGAAAGATAGGTGGGAACTTATGTGATTGCCGTGTACACCTTGTTTGTTGTTGGTATAGTAGAATCTGATAGACGTGTTTATCGACTTATATTATCGTACTTCTGGTTAACATAGTGATTCGTTAGAATTATATGTCTGTGGTGATAAAGGCTTAAGGTAGGGAGAATGCTTCAAAAGAAAGAATAATATAGCAAAATGTCGAGTATGAATTGATATTAAGAGCCAAGATGAATACATCTACACCAGTGCTATTGGTTACTCGTATGAATCACAAGTCGATCGGTTAATGGCTTCGTATCATACAGTCGGACTGTCATGATGTCAGATTTGGGCTGTACCATCTTGTACGTATTTGCCTAGTTAACGTTACCCAACAGTCAGCTGAAAGTAATGTTTGTTCTACATTTTTAGGATATTGTTTATCTTTATAATATTTGGTAAACAGAATTCACTCATTGAGACATTATTATTGCAATTATTATCACCCTTGTTGACGACATAGTTTTATTTGGTGAAGACGCTGAAAAAATGCAGTCTTCTGACCACTATAAGCAACCATGCAGGCATGTTCGATATGCGATTTTCTCCCTCGAAGTGCAAAATGTTACTTCAGGATTGGGTTGCATCGGCACCTGAACTGATGATAGGGAGTGAAGTAGTTGAGCGTGTTGACAGCTTCACTTATCTTGGGAGTCTCATCAGCCCTTGTGGTCTGGTGTGTGACGAAATCTCAGCACGGACACAGAAGGCTCGTCTATCTTTCGCCAACTTGCGTCATTTATGGAGTAGGCGAGATATCCGTCTAGCAACCAAAGGACGGGTTTACTGCTCAGCAGTTCGCTCCGTTCTACTTTATGGCAGTGAAACATGGCCGATAAGAGTAGAGTATATTCGTAGGCTACTAGTATTCGATAATAGGTGTCTTCTAAGCATTGCTCGTATATCCTGGGACCACCTCGTAAGTAACGCAGTTGTTAGGAAACGGGTACTAGGTAAGGATGGCAAATCGATTGATGAAGTGGTGAAACTTCATCAGCTGAGATGGCTGGGACATGTGTTACGTATGCCCAACTACCGGCTGCCTCGACGTGCAATGTTTTATGGTGTAGGAGTAGGTTGGAAGAAAGCTAGGGGCTGCCAGACCAAAACGTGGCACAAATCCATGAAGTCGCTGACAATTGGACTGGGCCATGTTGGTAGGTGTAGACTACCTGGTTGGGACTCGCGAGATGATAGCAATCGATGGTTAGAGACCTTGCAGCCCGGATGCAATCAAGGATGAGTTTTACCATCAGTTAACAGTTCTTCTCCAGAAAGCGCGTTCGACAGATATTGTAGTACTAGTCGGAGACTTGAATGCACAGGTCGGGCGTCTAGGCACAGAAGAGAGTCGTTTAGGTGGCCGATGGGGACTTGTTGGTCGCAGGACAGATAACGGGGACTGTTTGCTGCAACTGTGCACAGACCACAACCTGTTTCTGGCCAGCACTAACTTCCGGCACAGTCATCGCCGGTGTGCTACCTGGCGTCCTCCCTCTGCATCCCAAGCCTGGAATCAGATTGATCACATCGCGATCAGCTACCACTGGCGTGGTTGTGTACAAGACTGCCGCTCCTTTTGGAGTACCTATCTGTAGTCTGATCATGCCCTGGTCTGCGCCAATCTAACCTTACTTTTCAGTGGCCGAAGGATTGACCACCACCAACGGATCGATGTTAGTAAACTGGCTGCAACATCTGTTGCAAGTAAGTATCGAGCGGAGCTAGCTTCTAGGCTAGCTACCATCCCACCGAAAAGTATAGATGAGCATTGGTTGCATCTTCACGACGCCATGAAAATGGCGAGTAAAGCCGCTTGCGGCTTCGCGAAACGTCCCGCTTACAAGCACTGGGTTTCTTCTGGCTCCTTACAACTGATGGAAGCCCGTCGGTCTACTCCGGATGACCGTGAGTATGACCACAAACGAAGGCTGTTACGTAATGAAATTGGACAAAGCTTGCGTAAGGACCGAGAAGCCTGGTGGTCGGAGCGTGCTAATGAGATGGAAGCAGCAGCTGCATCTGGTAACTGCCGGAAGCTCTTCCAACTCATCCGAGTCACTGGCAGCAAGAAGTCTGGTGTGAGTGAAACAATCTACAAGGATGACGGGATGCCAATCACTAACATCTCTCGACGTCTTGGACGATGGGCTGAATTTTTCGAAGGGCAGTTCAATCGGCCTGCTGCTCCGGCAACATCGACCAGTTTGTCCTGCCCCCCATGGCCGGTGACGACTGACCCACCAAACGAGGTGGAAGTCCGCAAGGAACTCCAACTCTTGAAACGTTACAAATCACCTGGCCCAGATGACTTACCTCCGGCTCTTTTTAAAGATGGTGGTGACTTTCTGGCTAAGGAACTGACTGCGTTGTTTGCAAAGGTTTGGGAGGAAGAAAGTGCTCCAACATCATGGAATGAGTCGATAGTCGTCCCTATCTTTAAAAAGGGTTCACGTTGTTCCTGCGATAACTATCGGGGGATAAGTCTTCTTCCGATTGCGTCCAAACTATTGGCTTCTGTCATTCTTCGTAGGTTGTTTAAAACCTGAGAACGATTCACTTGCGAGGAGCAGGCTGGTTTTCGTTGTGGTCGAGGATGCATTGATCACATCTTCACCCTCCGCCAAATGTTAGAACACCGTCATACTTATCACAGGCCAACAATCGTAGTGTTTCTTGATATCAGGGCTGCCTTCGATTCGTTGGACAGGACTGTTCTCTGGGATTGTCTATTGAAGAAGGGTGTGCCTGAGAAGTTCATTAACATCTTAAAGGCCCTGTATACGAACACCTCAGGCAGAGTAAGGGCATACAATCACCTTTCTCCCTTGTTCCATTCGAGCAGTGGGGTTAGGCAGGGTTGCCCGATCTCACCATTCCTCTTCAACTTTGCCATCGACGACATCCTGGAAACAGCTCTGATGGATGTAAGTAATGGCGGTGTGGATATGTTGCCTGCAGAACGACTTCTCGACCTCGAGTATGCGGATGATATTGTCTTACTGCGTGATAATGCCCAAGCCATGCAATCCGCACTTAATCAGTTGGCAATCAGTGTCCGCAGGTACGGCATGTGCTTTGCACCCTCCAAGTGCAAAGTACTCCTACAAGACTGGCAGGATTCTCATCCTGTACTCACCCTGAATGGTGAGCAGATTGAAGTAGTTGAGAAGTTCGTGTATCTAGGTAGCTACATAAGTGCCGGAGGTGGCGTGAGTGATGAAATCGATGCACGTATAATGAAAGCCAGAGCGGCTTATGCCAATCTAGGCCATCTTTGGCGCCTTCGTGATGTTAGTCTGGCTGTAAAAGGTCGGATCTACAACGCGTCGGTCAGAGCAGTTTTGCTCTATGCTTGTGAAACCTGTCCTCTTCGAGTTGAGGACTCTCTGTGTTCCATCATCGTTGTCTCCGAAGGATTGCTGACATTCAGTGGCAACACCATGTTAGTAATGCAGAGGTTCGGCATCGTGTGTTGGGGCGCAGAGACGATAATTCAATTGGTGTCACCATCTTGAAACACCGACTTCGGTGGCTTGGACATGTTTTACGAGTGTCGTCCCAGAGGCTTCCACGTCGTGCATTATTTGCCGACTCTGGGACTGGTTGAAAAATGCGGAGAGGAGGTCAGTGTATGACATGGTGTCGTAGCATGAAAGAGAGCTGCAAAGGGCTAGCTTCTGTTGGTCCTTCACGACTCCCTGGCTGGGGTCCGAGAGATGATGCAACACAGTGGCTAGAGACGTTATCGGATATGGCTCAGAATAGAAGCCAGTGGCGAGCCTGCTGTAACCTTCTTCTACTTTCTTCATAAAGAGTGGCTATAACTTTCGTAACTGAGAGAGCTCTTCTGGTTGTACATTCAGTTCCCCCCATCATTACTCTTCTCCTTTTCTTTTTTTCCTTTTTTTATATATACGCATCTTCTTCCTTCTCCCATTCTCATTATTTTGTGTGGCGCATATGTATCCGGTGCCCTTTGTACCAATATATATGTGATTAAATAAATAATAAATTGAAAGACATGGCTCAAAATCGTTTGCAATGGTGCAGGTGCATCTACTCTTTGTGTTCTGCCAAATTCTAATCCTCTGAATTCCTCATGTCCTTATCCTTTTTCTCTTTCCAAATTTATTTCACTGTATTACACTCCTTGAATAACATATTCAAACCCTAATCTTTCGGTTTACTGCTTATACTCTTACTACCTCTACCACTATGGGATCTGAATCGACAACTGCATCTCTGTGCTAATGTGGTATGGCAACTCGAACTGATGTATGTACGTACGAAGTTCTACATTGTAACTGACTGACGAATTATTATCGCCCTAAAAAATAAGTATATATATTTGGGACTGTACAACCTTGAAAATGAATTTGCCGAAAAGAGACCTCTTCGCGGAACCAATTTTTCTTATTTAATGTCTTAATTTGTTCAGCTTATTTAAGTTCAATGTTTGCATTTGCGTTAGTGTCATATTTCGTGTAGTATGTAAGCAATCAATGTGGGTCACGAGATGCTATGTGTTTACGTTTTTCCATGTTTGTATGCCATTTGAACAGTAGTGTTCACTGATAACAAATGCTAAGTTATCATTAGTAGTGGCATTTGCCTTCGTTAATCTTTTGTCTGTGAAGTGCGCATGTGTTTGTTTGCATAAACAAGCAGTCAGTTGGTCTAAATCTTTGTACAAATGAGTGACTAGATAAAGTTGTCATTTGTTACTGTGTTTATGTTTGTGTGTTATTGTTTGGAGTAGGTAGGACGCATGGGTTGGCTATTTGGTGTTTGTATTGTTGTGTTTGTTTGTATATCTGTATATGTCTGTTGCAGTAGAATTATCATTCGTAATTACAATAGTAGTAAGTAATGAAATTTACCGGATGATGTATGTGTGGGTTGTGTTTAGTAGTCATAGATACACTAACTCATCTGTTGGTCAGGGGTTTAGGAAGTTACTTTGCTTTTATTATATCAACAGTCAAATAAGCGTATATACTAGTGATACACATGCGCATGCAGGCATACACTTGCGTAGAGACGATGATTAGGAGAGGGAGGAGGCGATGAAAGTAAACACTCACAACCAGCAGTTGCATACAAACAATTTTTATGCCAATAAATAAGCAAGTAAAAGTCTTCGTATTAGCTTTTAAATAGTTTCAGTGTTTTCGCATACGTCTACTGTAATGGTAGCGTTGGTGTGAGCGTGTAAATGATCATATTGTTCATTATATGAAGTACTTTTTTCATGACAAGTCAAATATGAAGTTATTTGGAGAAATACGATCATAATTGTTGTTGCTATTTTTGTGGTTTTCACATTGGAAATATTTCCATTATAACACTGGTCAAGTGTGTGATCACTTATTAGAAGAGACAAAAGGTGGGACATATATATATATGTGTTTGTGCATGATAGTAGTACATAAATAATAATAATAATAATAATAATAATAATAATAATAATAATAATAATAATAATAATAATAATAATAATAACAGTAACATACAAGTTGTTTGTTGAGATAATCGGCTAATTGTGATCTCTGTGTCTTTGTGTACGTGCTCATGTGTATATCTATCTAGTGAAGAAAGATCCCTATGCGTTTGAAGATGATGAGAATGATGAGACGGTGAACAATTCTGGGAACTCACTACTTCATCCTGCATCTGGTGTTAATAATAGTAATAATACCAATACACAGGCAACAGGCCATATTGGAGTTCATTCTAGTTGCGGTGTTAGTGTTGGTACTCCAGTCAATTTCAATAAGTCAACTTCTTCCAATTCTACCATTTCTACTACTACTATCACCACAATCACTACTACTACTACTACTACTACTACTACTACTACTACTATCGTCAATACAAATACGAATACTAGTCCAAATAGTAATACCAGTATTGGTAGTATTGATTCACTATCAAAGCACACACGTCAACTGTCTTCTTCCAATTTGTCAACTACTGTGGAGTGTGGAAATATAATTTTGGATAGTAGCAACGATAATACATTGACAGGTACAATCAATAGTGCATTTACTACAACTATTGCTCCCAATAATAGTAGCAATTACACAACTAGTAACAATAACTGTGGTAGTGTTGGTGGACCTCCGCTTCGGCTTCGTTTTGCGAAAGAAGCCGGTCAATATACTTTGATGGAACATCAACAACAACAGATTGATTTATCCCTTTCGAATTGTGAGACAAATCTTGTTCCTTCATCAAGTGGAATTATTTGTACAACAACTGAAACGTCTCATGTCGCTGTCGTTAGTGATAGCGACAACGATCACAACAACATGAATTTTCAAATGAATATTAATAATAATAATGGTAGCGACAATGTTAGTAATGAGCATAACTCCAATATGGGTACATCGATGACGATAAAAAGTGAGTCAGTCACCGTATCAGGTGATGAAGAATTGAATCATGTAAGTCAATTATTCTGACATTAATCGTAACTGCTCTTGAGTGTTTATTTTGTACAAATTAACAACCAGCTGATTAACATTGTGTTGGATAAATGTGCTGAGTAAATTTTTTGTATATGTGTGTGCAGGGTAGTCAAATGTAGTCAAATGTTTAATCACCGTTTCCAGTTTGTTACATTGTTTGTTTTTATGTCTAGTGTATAGGCTCTGTCGTTGAAGTATTACGGAGGTGTTAATGTGTGTGTGTGTGTGTGTTTGACCGATTTAGCGTGTTCTGTTTGTCAGTTCAGTTGTTTGTAATTGAGTGATCTTTTTCGCTTTGGCATGCGTACAATGACTGACACTGGTTATTTGAGAATCCGTTTTCGGATTTTCGAAGCTGTCGAGTTACGAGTTTGTGAACCTGAGTGTTGGTCAGGTTATTATTGTAGGTTTAGACATTCACTTTTCACCCACTTTCGGGTGTGTTGGGAACGGATAAGTGGTAAAGCTAGCAGTGAAACACACAGAGAAAGTATGAATCACAAAGCCGATTTCATGATTATGTACATTTTGATTGTTGACTTGTATCTCATTTTAATTTTGTAACCATTAATTTATAGTTCATACTTGTGCCCCCATCTCCCTATCTTGTTATTGTGAGTTAAAAACAGTAATTGAGCTTAGTTGTTCTGGGGATAGAATAGTGGAACAATAGTTTAGATACTAAAACGCTGGTTCTGTTATAGACCAAGTATCCGTTGCTTGTCTGTCTGTCTCGTAACTGCACTTACTGTAGATAGTACTGTCATAATTTCTCTTCATATGACCCAGCTATTCCTATTGCTTAGTATTCTTGGACACCAATACACTCGGCAAGTTCTCAAATGAGAACACGTTTGAATAGGGAAGAAATTATATTCCGAATAACAAGAATGAATGGAGGTAAGAAGTGCAATAAGAAATACGTTAGTATATTTATAGTTTTACATGAGAAGATTCTAGAGTCTTCTCCAGGTATCGGCTAGCGCTGATTGGATAGGAATTAGCCAATCCGAAATCGGCCAAGTGATAGGTACACTTGATTAACCAGGAAATGACTTTTATTGCTGAGAGATGTGATATGCCCCAGTGGTGTCTTACTTTAGTGAGGAATAAATATATGTATGTATGTATGTGAATATGTACACACACGGTCGATTCGGTGCAGTCAATAAACTTCATTTTTCAGTTTCGGTGTCTACGAGGTTTTTCTTTTCTGTTAATTCTCTGACAGGTGTCTACATCATGCCATTCAGAGTCATCAGGAGGCGAAGAAATCTCGGCACAGAAGGTTCCTCCTTTACGTATTAAATTTGCTTCGGGTACTTCTGGAGATGAGTCGTCATCAATGACTTCATCGTGCATGTCAGTTGGAGCAACTTGTGGTGGATTGACAACTCATCCTATTAATAATGTGGAGAATAATTCGAGTAATGAGTCGAATATGAATGATAAATGCGACGTGAAACCTCGTGTGTCTGATGACGGTTTGATGACTGTGAATAACAAAAGTGATGGTAAGGAGGCTGGAGTCACTGTCACTTCTATCGTTTCGACGAGTGTCGTTTCAGTTCCTGAAAAAGTTTCATGTTCAAGCGTGGAGAATATCGGCGACGGTAATAGCGGCAGTGGTGCTACCACCGTTACTGCTACTGGCACTACCGAGACTGTCCACGATCAATATTCTAGCCACCATGAGAAGTTATCTAAGTCTTATGATCATGTTGTTGCAACGAATGTACACCATAACGAATCGAGTACAGAGTTGTCCATATCCTGTACTCCCCCATCGACATGTACCACAAGTACTGGGATGAACACTAGTGTGAATATTACAAGTGGTGTTAACACTGTTGAGATGAGTAGCAATCGTAGTAATGCAAGTAATGCTAATCGGGTGAAAGTGGATAATACTCTGGAGACGAGTGAGTGTCATGGAAAGAGTGGCAATAATAATAGTAATCATAACAACCACACTCACAATCGAAATAGTAATAATAATAATACGAATAATGGTAATCGAGAAGTGTCGAAAGTGAGTTTACGTGTTTTTGTATGTTTATTGATGTACGTAGTTGCATTAGTCACTTGAATGTTGTAATTGTGACAGAGCGTACTGAAGTGTAGTTAGATGTAGCTATTGTTGAGAAAGTAGATAGAATTTTGATCAGAACAACTTTTGGGAGAAATTTATCTATTCTGAATGTGAAGAAGACGGAATTTTCTTCTGCTTGAACTATTTGTAAACATATGTGGTTTACAGAATAAAATTGTGTGATGAGAATGTTTGACGCTGCCGTTGTTGTTGTTGACGATATAGTTTCTATTGTCAGTCCTGTGACAGTGTCTAGTGTGTGGTTATTGACGGTTGTTACCTTAAGCTTATTGTTCCAAGGGTTGTAATAGAAAACAAAGATTATGAGGAAAGTAAAGTGAAAGTGATCACGTTGAATAATGAAACGAGATTATCAGGATAGGTTTAGGATGGGAACGAACTGTTTTTGAATACATAAAGGGAGTTTCAGTTTTCGTATGGGATTTGTTACTTTTTGTATGAATCTTTTTCAACTTGTCTGATTGTTTCGTTTTTCATGTATTCATGTTGTAGGATACTCACCGGCATCGTAGTGGGCGTACATTACGTTCACATACAGCTGCTCAACGTGAAAAAGAAGAGAAGGAACGTCACAGTAAGCATTTTGTTAGTGCAGTGTTTGTAGTATTTTGATTGCAGTTCCTCTTTATTGACAGGAAACAGTTTGTGATGGATTGTAGAAGAAATCGGTGTTGATTTGATGAGGTCGAAATAGGAGTGTGATGGAAGATTTGTGTATGTGTCATTAGTACTATGTAATTTGGAACTTATGAATTACCCTGTATTAAGTGGATGAGACGTGTCGACGACGAAGTAATGGCCTAGTAACTAGATTATATTCATAGTTTTGCTTCTATTCGTGTTGACTGATTGATGTTTGTAGTGTAATGGATGGATGAATGGTTTAATTTTGTAATAAGCTCGAGTTTAATACACGCACATTGTTATGTTGCCAGAAGAGTTAACATTGTATTTGATTGTGTGAATATGTAAAAATGTATAACTCATCATTCAGTTGGTCAGCCAATCTTTGGTACTATAGAGCATTAAAAAGTGCATCATCATCACATAGAATGAATGACACAAAACTATTGTGTGAATAAATTGCCAAGGTAAAAACGATGTACTTGAAGTGGTGAAATACTTCAGAAAAGTAGCTCGCATAAAACCGAAAGTGAGTAAGATTTGATTTTTCTTGAACATATCATTGTGGTATTTATCAGAAAGAAACAAGTGATTGATCGGAGGCTTGATAACAACTTCGAATCTATGTTAGGAAGTCGTACATCTTTTATGAAGGCAGTTCCAGAGTATAGAACTCATCTGTGAATGGCGACCGTTGATTGCTCATAAAGTCAGTGAGATTGTGATAATGTTTTCGATCAGTTTTGTAGAATGTAATTATTATGCGTTGACGACAATACTTTTTTTTCTATTTAGCGGATGATGCTACTCCGATTAAGAAGCGTAAACTTCGTTCTCGTTCGGATACTGTGACAAATCATGAGAATATCAGTCAACAGAGTCGTAGTGGTAGTGGAATTGGGACAGTAAATGCAAATAATTCACCTATAACAACTGTTCATGCTGGTTCGTCAACTGAATCTTCTAATGTGTCGTCTTCAAATGCTGTTGCAAACATGGATGTGATTGAAGATACACATGGTTGTTTAACTGTTACTGTTTCTTCTCAAAGTGACAGTCACATGGGTAGTGAAGAGAAGAAGGTGTCTGTGGGAAGTTCTCAGTGTACAGTGCTGACTGATAAAGATACTACTGATGTGCATATGACTTGTGTTTCTGAAATTGAAGGAGGACATTCTGTTTCATTGTCTACCACTGCTACTACTACTACTACTACTACTACTACTGACAATGATAACAGCAAGAAGATGGAAGTGGATGAAAAACCAGAGATGTGTGGAACTGCTGTGTCAGTTGCGAAATTGAATATGGATGGATCGAATGATGTGGATGTTGTATCATCAGTCTCAGAAGTAGGAGCAACGACGGTGGTAACAACAACAGTAGATATAGCAGGAATAGCAACATCGACTCCATCATCATCGTCATTGGGGGAACAGACAGGTGGACGTTCTAGTGAAGCAGATTGTGACATGAGTTATTTATTTTGTCCCTCTGCTCCTGGAGATGAAGATCGTAAAGATATTGAGTTGTTGAAATTTCAAAATCCATATGGCAAAGCTGCTGAATTGAACAAGAATGTAAGTGGTTTCATTCATTTAGTATTAGTGATGATGAATGTTGACTGGTTGGTTGGTTGTTGAATGGTGATACATTTGAGTAGTATTTGTAATAGTGTAATGTTTGTTGAGAAAGTGTTAACAGAAATATTATAATTATTGCTTTGTTTTGAGTGAAATAACACTGTTTGAAGAGTTACATTTCGATAAATTTGACTATGTATGACAAGTGTACTAATGAGATTTATAAATTCTTTGCATGGTTTGTTTTGATGGATGGATGTTTGATGCAATCAACTATACTACTTCAACAGTTACGTGAACTTGTCAATAATCTGGTGAAGGTCCATCCGAAAGCACCTTGTGGTTATCAAGATTACCTGTTGGTTACTCGTAATTACCTATTGGCTAATCAACTGTCATTTGCTACATATGTGAAACGTGTAAGTTCTTTATTATTTTGTGCATTATTTTTTAGTAATGAGTGAGTGTTGTGTAGTGATAGTGGTAGTATTGGTTGTATTTAAATGATAATTATTGGCTTTGTATTAGTTGTAAATACTGTTTTGTTTGGTGGAAGTGATTTGTAATTTTAGTTGGTTGAATATGGTGTGATATTTGGCGACTTGAGTTTATCATTGTCATTTGTAAGTGTTTATTGTTCGATCTGAAGTGTGCATCTTTGTGCTTTTTACAACCGCCTATAATAAGAGCAGACTACCTGAATTCGCCACATCCATGTGTATGTACCAGTTGAACTACTTCTGTGGAGCCAGTTATGTAGGGCTAACGATTCGGCAAGTCCATCATCGCATTGCATAGCACCGTCCGTGTTGGTTAAGCAAAGGACAGATAAGAAAGGTTAAGAGTTCTATTCTCGCTGACTTTGTAAGCACAGGTCATCAAGTTGACTTGAATAAAGCTTTCAAGGTTATCTACCATATTCCATCAAATTTGCTATATGGTTTACGAGTTCATCTGTTGCATGTTACTGAAGCCATTGGAATCCATATTCATAAACCCCAAGTTTACATCGGAAAGAGGGTTGTACAACTATTCTTGCCACCTTGTATATCCGCATAGAAGTGAGTTTGTAGCTGAACTTTTTTGAAACACTTTCCATCAAAAATATTTAAACTGTTTTCTAATTTCTCTCACTTTTGTATTTTTACATATTCTCAACATTCGTCTCTAAATTCTTACATAACTACAATCATACTGACCTTTCATCCAAATATTTTGTTAATCCCTTCTTTTTGTATATTATGCAATACAGCAACTGTTCAAATTTTCGAATGATTATTTTGATTACTATGATCCCCCTCTTTCCAATTACTCAATATTATTTTGTAATGAATGTGTCATTATACAATTATTATGTAACATAACTACTCTTGCTTCATAACTTTCTTCCTTCCTATACTATATCCTTATATTCAACCTATCTTTTATATACTACCACTACTAAATGAACTACTTCTATGAATACAGTGTTCATCTTGTGCTAACGAGGTATGACAACTTGGACCGATGCATATATTTGCCTCGTCCTACGTTGTAGCTGACTGACTGAGTGAACATAACTACTCGATGAGTACTATTTCATTGCTGTAAATGATACATATATACATTAGTGTAGAGTCATGATGAGAATGTATTTGGAAAGAAATTTTTTCATTCGATTCGTTTATCTTTGTGTTGTTTCAATATTGACTTGAGTCGAAATGAATTGATTTGTTTTTATAAGATATTTTGAATCACGTTAGTTGCTGTGTATGGTGATGTGAGTGAGGTTTGTGTGGAGGTCCTAACTACGTTGATGATAAGTGACTAATTGATCATTCCAGTGAGCTGTATGACCTGTTATGTGATTGCACTGACTGATGGACGAGTGCCTACACTGTTAATACTACCACCACCACCACCACCACTAAATTAACTACATCTATGAATCCGGTGTTCATCTTGTGCCAGCGAGGTATGGCAACTATGACCGATGCATATATGTGCCTGGTCCTACGTTGTAGCTGACTGACTGACACTGTTAACTATTCGGGTGACCTTGATTGTTAATTTGTGTACTAGAATGAGTAATTGAAAACGGAAACATTGTGGTGTTTTACGATTTAGTGGTTATTTCAGCCATGAATGATGAAATGATAGGATGAGACGTATAAACATTGAGGCAGTTTATTGTATGAGTTATTTCGAACGTTGTTTGTTCTTTTTTCGAGTTGTTTATCAATCAATCAATCTGTTTGTTTTATTTATTTATCATGTAGTCACCACCGAGTCATTTGGAAGCGACATTTGTGGAATTATTCAATGAACAAGAAGAAGAACGCTATGCTCAGGCATTGAAACATCAATCAGAACGAGTGAGTGTTATTATTTACTGTGTTGGATGCATTTTATGTGTGTGTGAGGCGATGGTTCGCAATAGAGTGTTTGAAAGTGAAGCATTTTGTCAATGCTTATTAGTAGTAATCTGAGCACTGTTTGTATGTGTGTGTGTGTGGATTTGTATGACTACAGAGTTGTTAAGTTAAAAGATATAACATATAGGAAGTGTTGTAGTGAACAGAACACTTTCAGTTCTTTCCTCATCGGTCTTCTGCCAAAATACATTGTATGTCTGACCCACACCATATACTACTTATATGGATATAAGTAGACCACACCACTGTGTGACTTCGAGTTATGTTAGTTGACGAAGATCGTTGACGAGAGCAGTAAGGCATAAACTGTCCACTGTCGTAAAAGTCGTTTTGATGAATGTGAAATGTATTATTTTGTTGTGTGAACAAGAGAATAAACTATTTATTTGTCAGTGAGGGGGAAATCGGGATGGCATTAACATGGTGTTGATACTTGTGGATTATTTTGCCAGTCTTTTTTATTATTTGAATTGTAATTTTCATAATGGTTAACGGATTTCAGGTCTGTATGTTTATGGTAATGACAAATGTTTGTTTGGAATACACTGAATGTTCATTTCAACTGACTTTTTCTAGCCATTTATTATTATTGTTTGTAGGAACATTTACAACTGGGTGCAGAACAAGCTGTTTTACGTGCTCAAACACGTGGTGCATTAGCAGTGGCCAATCAATCGAAACCATATTCGTTTTGTTCAATATTATCTTATAATGATTTGACGTATATTCCACCGGTTGGGAAATTAGAGAATCGAGTGAGTAATAGTAGTAGTATATTTATTTTCTCTGTTTTGTTTGTTTGTTTGTTTGTTTATATTGTGCTTATAATTCGAGTTTATGAAATGAATCAGTGATGTGTTGTAATATTAGTCGGAGCTGTGTATTGGAATGAGTATTGGAAGGTGGTGTTGTTGATGTTGTCAATCCTTTCTGATTATCATCTGTTGGTGATATGGTTTATGTTAGTTTTGTATGTATGAATGTATTGTGTGTGTGTGTGCTGTGAAGCCAAGATTTATGTATTGGTGCTGGAAGTTGGTGAAGAATGTATTCAAAATGATCGACTTGTGTTGAGTGTGCTTGTTTAGTTTTCCATGTATTGGTTTGTAAAGCTGAGTTTGTATGTTATTTGGTTTTTGGAGTTTTCTGTACGTTGTTCGTTGTTCTCGTTACTACTGTTGACACAATACATTGTGAAATTGTGGTCTTTCTTGAGATTAAGATCCTTATTCGACTGAAAAACGGAGAACAATTTTGTTGAAGTTCTGCTCTCGATTGCTTAAAATATGTGTGGGCGTTTATGCTGTGTTTGTTGACTCATATGTACATTTGTGGTGTGTGCTACTTATGTCAATAGACATGGGTAGTATGTAACACTAGTCAGATATGGAATGTCTGGCAGCGAAAGCTTGGGAAGATTGAACTGGAGAAATCAGAAATGGAAACTATCAAGGAATTGAGAAGTGGAACAATCATGAGGGATGTAGAGGATAATTGATGGATGATTTGCAGATGAAGTATTTGATGTATGTTTTGAACAGTACATTCGGATTCATTTATCCAGTTGAATTTTCTGTTTACTAATCTTGTTTTTTGTGTGGAATTGTGTAATTGTAAATGAGTGGTAGTCGTAGTAGTAATAGTAGTTACAATGTATGCTTCAATATGAACGATCACGAATAGTGTTGTCCTAGTGACTTCTCGTTGTTGCTGTGAATGATTGTCTTGTTTTGAAGTTTTTCTTCAACTGTGTGTTGTGTTGCTGTATATGACTGTTATTGATGTTCTGGTGACTCTGTAGTTAGTTGAATTGAGTAATTTTGGCAGCTGGATTTTGTTGTGTATTATAATTTTCTAAACCGAATTTTGTTTTACTGCTGTCCAAGTAAATTAATTGTTCACTGTATTCGGTTTTACATGTTGTGAATGAGAAGAATACTGATGGTTTGTTGCATGTTGTTTTGTTGAGATAGGAATCATATCACTCGGTGTAGTAGTGTAGTATGAGACGTTTAATGGTAGTGAGTATTACGTACCTACTGTACTAGCTAACTCTCCTACGTATTATGAACAACAGTTTGGCTGAAGACAACGCATATGAGTGTGCATATTTAATTGGTGATTTACACTGTTATCGTAGATGTATATTTGTGGTGGTGGTGGTATTGTTGTGTAGTTGTTGCATAGAAGCAACATTCTTTATTTGTCTGACATTTACTTGTTGATTGTGCGAAGTGTGGACTTTATCAGCTGTGTGTAAATGACAAACAAGAAATAGTGTTTATGATTGTGAATTGCTATCCATCATAGGTGTATTGTTTTACATTGTTGTGTTATCCGTTTATATATATATATATATATATATATATATATATATATATATATATATATATATATTTCCAATTGTGTGTGTGTTTTGATGTGTTTTTGCAGGAAGAAGAGAATATACGTGATCGTTTTACCCCTCGTACATTTATCGGTTGGCTTCAAGACATTATCGATACATTTCAAAATGAAAAGGTGAGCTGAAGCATCATTAGATTGTCATTTATTTGGAGGTTGTGAAGCTACATGATAATCCTGAACTTTTTAAAGTTAAACTCTTGATTGACTGATTGATTAATATGGTTGAAGTTGTTTTGCGATGAAATAACAAGATGAAGGAATTTGTCAGGTACGATGGATGAATAGAAATATTGATACAAACGACGAAGTCGATCATCTTGACGATAAAATGAGATTATATAAAAGAGCACTTACCATATAAAGTGTTAAGCTTATGAGTAAATAAAGTGTATTGATATTATCATGGGTGGTGTCCGAAATGTGATACTGATACACGACGTGCTACATGCTGATCCCCTACCTGACTACTTAAGCGAAAATACATGATTGAACGAGAAAGTACTTTTCCCTACCGAATGACATGCACAAATGCTGATATATATATACTCCGTAGAAAATCAATCCATTTCTTAACGAGTGATATACAATAGTCTTCCAGATTAGTTCTGAATGTGATCGAGTGACCTTCTCGTTTGGCCACTTCTGATTGTCTCACTATGTCACTTGTCAGATGAAAGGCTAATTCAGTCATTAAGAATACTCTATGGATGAAATCACTGCACTCTGTTAACTGAGTCTAGATGTAGGACTTCACGACACTGTGACTGGAGTGTTATGACTGTTTGATGAAGTTTGGTTGTGTATGTGAAGTTGTTGCGGATTGATCGTAGAGTGTGTAGTGTAGAGAGTGTAACAACATCAAGTACTTTATTTTATGTCTGTTCATGGTCCTCCACTCACTCTCTTGTGTGTTTGTACATTTTTGTATTTAGAAGAAATTACTCTGTCGACAACTTCATGAAGCTGAATCATTGATGATGGTACAGAAACTTGATTGGGAGATGAAAACCCGCGAAACATTGGCATCGAACATCGATTGTATTGGTGTTGTGGATGTATTCAAAGACATTCCAGCTAATTATGTTCCACTGATCCCAGTGCCTAATGACTTTCCACTATTCGCTCATGATCCGGTACATCGAACGACGACGACGACGACCATAACGACAGCTGGGCAGACGGCGGCAACAGCAACGACAATGTCAACCACACCGAGTACTCCGATCCCCATCACTCATACTACCAACACCACCACACACACGGCTGTGAGTAATAGCCCAACAGTATCAGCAACGACAACTACGCCGACTAACAACTCATGATCGACATGAAGAAGGAGATTTGTTTTGATTTTCTGAGTAATGAAATCTATGTGTTATGTCATACTTCTCATTTCCTAGCTTCGATCTGATTTTGCCTTCTCATCTCAACAGAAACGACAGATAAACTGACTTTCTCTCCTTCTTCCTCTGCATCGTCATATTGATTTTGTGTTTTTTTGTGTGTGCATGTGTCTGTTTGTTTGTGTACATATTTTGTATGTTGATGGATTGACTGATTTTCTATGATTTCCTGTTGTTATCATCTTTGTGGTCGTCAGTATTTATGGGATAATAATGTGGTTACTGAATGTGTATCTGGTGGGATTGATGATGATGAACAGTTTGTGTGTGTGTGTGTGTGTTGGAGTTTTATTTATGTGTTGTGGTGAAACTGTTTTTATGATGTAATTTGCCAATGTCAATATGATTGGTTATAATAATTACTAATTTTACAATGATTTATATAGTTTACTTTTTTATGTATTCATCCACTTATGTGTGTAATTAATGAAATGCCTGTTTATGTACCTGAATTATGTAACTAAATATATTTATTTTATCCTTGGAATACCGTGGTTTTCCCTATTTTGAAGACATCCTGTTCAATAGTATGGTACCTAAGTTTGGAAATATCCCCAAGTGCACTGGTATGATGGAGTGTGAGGAAAGTCCACCCACCTTCTCTAAATGTTCACTTGGACACGTGTATACAGCCATTGCGAGGGAAATCCTACTCACTGCCTTCTCGCATCGGGAATGTTGTTTATTTGCTGCCGAAAACGAATAGGGTTGTTTACTTAGAGGCCACACCCGAGGCCTTTGACCTAAAGGTGTGATCCACAAGGTAGTGGAGCAACGTGAGAAAATGCAGTCCCAGAATAGCCTGTAACTAACGATTGATTCATACGCCATTTGTCTCCTCAAGATCTTCGAGCCCATGTGCACCATTGGTTTTGAATCAGGGTTTTCGAACTCCCCTAGGTGAACATTCCGTGTCCACCAACCCGGTTAAAGTGCCTTAGATTCTCTTCTCATCCTCTCAATTTCGTAAACAAAACTGATTGCACGAGAGGGCAGTTAGTAGGACTTCCCTGATAGAGGCTATATACGCGTGACCATGCGAGAGCATTTGGAGAGGGAGAGTGGACTCTCCCCACTCTCGACCGTACCAGAGCATTTGGGGACAAGAAATTCGAGAAATGTCAAATATATATATCATAATTTCTGAAATCCATCATCAGTCAAGGGATAAAAAAATGTGAATGCTCATATTATTGATATCATACCCAAATATATTGGATTATATCATAATAGAATTCATTATAAACAATGGGAATTGATATGTGGTTTTTTGTTTTATTTTATTTAAACACATAAATATTGGTACTAGGAAGCACCAGATATATATGCCCCAAACAAATCTCATTTGATTTGTGTGAGGGCTGTGATACTGCCCAGGTGCCCGAAACGAAACAGGTGGTTTCCCTAGGGGGCCACACCCGGAGCCGCCTTTCACCTAAACG